GTGAGGAGTGTGGTGAGGAGTGTGGTGAGGAGTGTGGTGAGGAGTGTGGTGAGGGGCGCGGCGGTGAGGCGGCGGCAGAGGCGGCAATGGCGGCAGTGGCAGCAATTTGTGGCAGCGGCGGCGGCAGTGGCGGCAGTGGCGGTGTGGCGCGCCTTGCCCAACTTGGCAAGCTTCGGCATCGCAGGCGGCGTCGCGAGGAGCACTTCGAAGTTGAGGTTCCCCGCCGCGATCTCCTCGATCAGATCGGCCATACCGACGAGGTCGGCGCCCGCAGCTTTCGCCTGCGCAGGAAGGTTCCGCGAAGGTTCCGCGAAGGTTCCCGGCTCCCGAGGCGGCGGAGCGGGCGGCGGAGAGGGCGGCGGCGAGGGCTGGGGTGGAGGGGGCTGGGGTGGAGACGGCGGCCCGCATTTGGGGTCGTGCCCAGAAAGGCAGCGAGAGAGGGGGCAGGGGGGGAGGCGAGGGCGTGAGGCGAGGGCGTGAGGCGCGGGCGGGAGAGCGGCTGTCACCTCGTCCGCCGCCGCTCCCTCCGCAAGCACAGCCACGCGCACGGACTTGCCAGTGCCGTGCGGAAGCGCGACCGTTGTCCGGATCTGGGAGGGAGAGGGAGCCGTGAGCACGAGGGCGCTACGCCGGCGCGAGGCGCTACGCCGGAGGCGGCGCGCCTGCTGGTCATTGTATTTGGGGTCGAGGTTGAGGTTGCCGTGGAGCTCGGCCGTCTCGGTGAACTTGGCCGTCGCCAGCTCCTTCATCAGCGCCACCGCCTCCTCCGGGCTGTACAGCTTCTCCTCCTCGACCTTGCCAGCGTTCTCCGATGCCCGGCGCGACGCCTTCATCGCCGGCGCCGCGGCTCGCGCCGCGTCAAGCTGCTGCTGCTGCTGCTGCTGCTGCACCAGGGGCGCGGCCACCGGCCCCCTCACCATCCAGCCCTGCACTGCAGACGCGAAGAGAACCAGCATGCCTGTGTGCTGTCGTCGACTGAGCTCGCCAAGCCTCGCTCGCCAGCTTTCTTTCTAGCGCCGTACCTGAGCAACGACATGACTTGCAACAAAACACAAGAGCGGCCGCACACTGCTCGGTACCCCCCCCTGCACTTCTCCGCCCATCCCTGCTGCTAGGGGGGGGGGTCTGACCCCCCCAGCAGCAGAGCGCTGCTGCTGGGGGGGGGGGGTACCCCCCCAGCAGCAGAGCGCTGCTGCTGGGGGGGGGGGGGGCCCTACCCAGCAGTGTGCGGTGGCTCTTGTATTTTGTTGCGGGTCATCTAGTTGTGTGGGGACGGCGCTATAAATAAAGCTGGGGAGTG